TCAGGGTATGTTTTAGTTGCAAAGGACCTCCACAAAAGCCGATTGAAGTAAACAAGGTGGCTGTGTCTACATTCGTGCGATCTTGCACAGAAGTGGCCGCTTTTGCGCCAAAACTTGCTGCCTGTCTACACTGGCCGCGAGTTCTTGCACAAGTACACGGACATTCTAATGTATGAAATCAGTATTTCTTGCGCAAGAACTCTGATGCTCCCGCTCAGTAATAAGCCCTCTTGCGCAACTGTTCTTGCGCAAGACGCCAGTGTAGACACGCAACATTAATATCTTGTGCAAGAAAGCTATATGGTTAAAATGGCCATCAGCACTTTCTTGCGCAAGAGAGCATCTACACTGGCATGGATGCTCTTGTGCAAAAGCACATCTCTTGTGCAAACGCACATGCCAATGTAGATGCTCTCTTCTCGAAGAGTTTTTGCACAAGAACTCTTGTGCAAGATCATGCCAGTGTAGACATAGCTGGTAGGTTCTGGAATGTGATGGTGTAACAGTGGAGTGGGGGAAAAGGAAGGGAAAAAAGTTTCTAGTAGTCTCTCCAAACATGGAAGCAATAGACTGCATTGTTAAATCTAGTCTCTTCCTTGCTAGGTTTACCTCTCAAACTTCTAGAGGCCCCAGGGGCTGTTCTTTGGGTAAGATTCTCACTTTCCCTTGCCTCTGTATCGGCAGGAGTCTAAGGTTGCCAGGTGTGTCCAGTTTTGAACCGGACAGTCCAGTATTTGAGCTTTCTGTGTGGGAAAAATTGAGAAAATGTGTCCAATATTTTCTAAATAAGATGTAATGTAGATTGTGATGTAATGGCAAGCGTATCCGGTATTTTTGTTGAAACCATCTGGCAACCCTACAGGAGTCCCTCCTGGTACCTCACAACACCTCTACAGTTTCGGCACTTACAGCAAGCACATCCTGCTCCTCCCACCACTCCTTGGCTATGTCTACATTGGCACGATCTTGCGCCAGAAATATGCAAATGAGGCTAAGCATGGAATATCACCGAGCCTCATTTGCATACCTAATGAGCAGCGTCTCTTCCTTGCTAGGTTTACCTCTCAAACTTCTAGAGCCCCCAGGGGCTATTCGCTGGTAGGTTCTGGAATGTGATAGTGTAACAGTGGAGTGGGGGAAAAGGAAGGGAAAAAAGTTTCTAGTAGTCTCTCCAAACATGGAAGCAATAGACTGCATTGTTAAATCTAGTCTCTTCCTTGCTAGGTTTACCTCTCAAACTTCTAGAGCCCCCAGGGGCTATTCGCTGGTAGGTTCTGGAATGTGATAGTGTAACAGTGGAGTGGGGGAAAAGGAAGGGAAAAAAGTTTCTAGTAGTCTCTCCAAACATGGAAGCAATAGACTGCATTGTTAAATCTAGTCTCTTCCTTGCTAGGTTTACCTCTCAAACTTCTAGAGCCCCCAGGGGCTATTCGCTGGTAGGTTCTGGAATGTGATAGTGTAACAGTGGAGTGGGGGAAAAGGAAGGGAAAAAAGTTTCTAGTAGTCTCTCCAAACATGGAAGCAATAGACTGCATTGTTAAATCTAGTCTCTTCCTTGCTAGGTTTACCTCTCAAACTTCTAGAGCCCCCAGGGGCTATTCGCTGGTAGGTTCTGGAATGTGATAGTGTAACAGTGGAGTGGGGGAAAAGGAAGGGAAAAAAGTTTCTAGTAGTCTCTCCAAACATGGAAGCAATAGACTGCATTGTTAAATCTAGTCTCTTCCTTGCTAGGTTTACCTCTCAAACTTCTAGAGCCCCCAGGGGCTATTCGCTGGTAGGTTCTGGAATGTGATAGTGTAACAGTGGAGTGGGGGAAAAGGAAGGGAAAAAAGTTTCTAGTAGTCTCTCCAAACATGGAAGCAATAGACTGCATTGTTAAATCTAGTCTCTTCCTTGCTAGGTTTACCTCTCAAACTTCTAGAGCCCCCAGGGGCTATTCGCTGGTAGGTTCTGGAATGTGATAGTGTAACAGTGGAGTGGGGGAAAAGGAAGGGAAAAAAGTTTCTAGTAGTCTCTCCAAACATGGAAGCAATAGACTGCATTGTTAAATCTAGTCTCTTCCTTGCTAGGTTTACCTCTCAAACTTCTAGAGCCCCCAGGGGCTATTCGCTGGTAGGTTCTGGAATGTGATAGTGTAACAGTGGAGTGGGGGAAAAGGAAGGGAAAAAAGTTTCTAGTAGTCTCTCCAAACATGGAAGCAATAGACTGCATTGTTAAATCTAGTCTCTTCCTTGCTAGGTTTACCTCTCAAACTTCTAGAGCCCCCAGGGGCTATTCGCTGGTAGGTTCTGGAATGTGATAGTGTAACAGTGGAGTGGGGGAAAAGGAAGGGAAAAAAGTTTCTAGTAGTCTCTCCAAACATGGAAGCAATAGACTGCATTGTTAAATCTAGTCTCTTCCTTGCTAGGTTTACCTCTCAAACTTCTAGAGCCCCCAGGGGCTATTCGCTGGTAGGTTCTGGAATGTGATAGTGTAACAGTGGAGTGGGGGAAAAGGAAGGGAAAAAAGTTTCTAGTAGTCTCTCCAAACATGGAAGCAATAGACTGCATTGTTAAATCTAGTCTCTTCCTTGCTAGGTTTACCTCTCAAACTTCTAGAGCCCCCAGGGGCTATTCGCTGGTAGGTTCTGGAATGTGATAGTGTAACAGTGGAGTGGGGGAAAAGGAAGGGAAAAAAGTTTCTAGTAGTCTCTCCAAACATGGAAGCAATAGACTGCATTGTTAAATCTAGTCTCTTCCTTGCTAGGTTTACCTCTCAAACTTCTAGAGCCCCCAGGGGCTATTCGCTGGTAGGTTCTGGAATGTGATAGTGTAACAGTGGAGTGGGGGAAAAGGAAGGGAAAAAAGTTTCTAGTAGTCTCTCCAAACATGGAAGCAATAGACTGCATTGTTAAATCTAGTCTCTTCCTTGCTAGGTTTACCTCTCAAACTTCTAGAGCCCCCAGGGGCTATTCGCTGGTAGGTTCTGGAATGTGATAGTGTAACAGTGGAGTGGGGGAAAAGGAAGGGAAAAAAGTTTCTAGTAGTCTCTCCAAACATGGAAGCAATAGACTGCATTGTTAAATCTAGTCTCTTCCTTGCTAGGTTTACCTCTCAAACTTCTAGAGCCCCCAGGGGCTATTCGCTGGTAGGTTCTGGAATGTGATAGTGTAACAGTGGAGTGGGGGAAAAGGAAGGGAAAAAAGTTTCTAGTAGTCTCTCCAAACATGGAAGCAATAGACTGCATTGTTAAATCTAGTCTCTTCCTTGCTAGGTTTACCTCTCAAACTTCTAGAGCCCCCAGGGGCTATTCGCTGGTAGGTTCTGGAATGTGATAGTGTAACAGTGGAGTGGGGGAAAAGGAAGGGAAAAAAGTTTCTAGTAGTCTCTCCAAACATGGAAGCAATAGACTGCATTGTTAAATCTAGTCTCTTCCTTGCTAGGTTTACCTCTCAAACTTCTAGAGCCCCCAGGGGCTATTCGCTGGTAGGTTCTGGAATGTGATAGTGTAACAGTGGAGTGGGGGAAAAGGAAGGGAAAAAAGTTTCTAGTAGTCTCTCCAAACATGGAAGCAATAGACTGCATTGTTAAATCTAGTCTCTTCCTTGCTAGGTTTACCTCTCAAACTTCTAGAGCCCCCAGGGGCTATTCGCTGGTAGGTTCTGGAATGTGATAGTGTAACAGTGGAGTGGGGGAAAAGGAAGGGAAAAAAGTTTCTAGTAGTCTCTCCAAACATGGAAGCAATAGACTGCATTGTTAAATCTAGTCTCTTCCTTGCTAGGTTTACCTCTCAAACTTCTAGAGCCCCCAGGGGCTATTCGCTGGTAGGTTCTGGAATGTGATAGTGTAACAGTGGAGTGGGGGAAAAGGAAGGGAAAAAAGTTTCTAGTAGTCTCTCCAAACATGGAAGCAATAGACTGCATTGTTAAATCTAGTCTCTTCCTTGCTAGGTTTACCTCTCAAACTTCTAGAGGCCCCAGGGGCTGTTCTTTGGGTAAGATTCTCACTTTCCCTTGCCTCTGTATCGGCAGGAGTCTAAGGTTGCCAGGTGTGTCCAGTTTTGAACCGGACAGTCCAGTATTTGAGCTTTCTGTGTGGGAAAAATTGAGAAAATGTGTCCAATATTTTCTAAATAAGATGTAATGTAGATTGTGATGTAATGGCAAGCGTATCCGGTATTTTTGTTGAAACCATCTGGCAACCCTACAGGAGTCCCTCCTGGTACCTCACAACACCTCTACAGTTTCGGCACTTACAGCAAGCACATCCTGCTCCTCCCACCACTCCTTGGCTATGTCTACATTGGCACGATCTTGCGCCAGAAATATGCAAATGAGTCCAAGCGTGGAATATTGCCGAGCCTCATTTGCATACCTAATGAGCAGCCACTTTTTGCGGAAGAGGCTCTTGTGCCAGAAGGCCCCTTCTTGTGCAAGAAGAGCCCTCTTGCGCAATGCCATTACGCTGATAATTTTCAGGAATAACGGCATTGTACAAGAGGGTTTTTCCTTGTGCAAGAAGGAGCAGTGTAGACGCAAGAACCTGGCGCAAGAACCTCTTCCACAAAAATGGCAGCTCATTAGGTATGCAAATGAGGCTCGGCAATATTCCACGCTTGGACTCATTTGCATATTTCTGGCACAAGATCCTGCCACTGTAGACAAAGCCCTAGTGTTCCACTAAACTGACTACAAGGGAGGCTTTAAATCAGTTACAGCCAGTTCTTGATTAGCTCCACAAATGCAATCAAATCTTTCTCTACTGGTGCTAGCATGTTCTTGATGACTCCAGGTGTCTTAATTAAGCTGGTGTAGACCTTGTTTGGTTACCAGGGACACATACTTGTTTAAGCTTGGGGCTAATCTACCATTTTCTGTTACTGTCTTATAGTCATCTGGCCTGACTCCGTAACAATGGATTACCATAAGGTTATCTGTTAAGCCATTTATCACAAATTGTAAAGAGACATGTAGACAATGACATTATTTCACTCAAGATTTATCTGAATGATAATATTCCCCTTTCATCTCTGAATCAATAGCTACAGTTAAACAGAAATTGTCTGTTTACATGGCTAACATCCAACAACATATAAACAAACATACAATTAGTATCACCTTTAATTCACTAACAATACAGGTTTTCATTTAAAAATTCTAGCCTAATTACCATTTACATACTTTTGTAACATGTCTCTAACAGTGGACTCTGTATTGTTTAGCTTGTGAGCTGCTTAACCCTTTCTGACCACGTAACACAAGGGACCTGTGCCATCATGCTTGAAGTGCTATTGACAGGTGGGTTGTGTCCCATGGATTCTGTGCATTTTTAATTCCTCCCCATCCTTATCTCTCTTCAGAGAACTTTCTCACAAAAATCATGTAAAAGAAGTAGCTTACTTGCTGTGCCTTGGAGGCATAGAGAGGATGCCTCTGGAATACAGTAAAAGAAGTCTTTCTTCCAAATATTTCAAGGAGAAAGAGGTCTTGGCCTTTTCTAGGCCTGACAGGAGGAAACAAATACATATTCCATCTCATACTCAGGATGAGGCAGGCAAGTGTTATCCTCCTTTCTCTTCAGGCGCAAGATTAGGCTTGTGGCTTTCAGCCTGAAAGACATACACTTCCACATTACCAACCAGCCAGCACATAGGAAGGACCAGAAATTCAGAGTGTGGCCCAATTACTACCAGTATAAGGTTCTACCATGTTCCCTTCCTATAACACGAAGGCTACGTCTACACTGGCATGATTTTCCGGAAATGCTTTTAACGGAAAAGTTTTCCGTTAAAAGCATTTTTGGAAAAGCGCGTCTAGATTGGCAGGACGCTTTTCTGGAAAAGCACTTTTCCGGAAAAGCGTCCATGGCCAATCTAGATGCGCTTTTCCGCAAAAAAGCCCCGATCGTCATTCGCGCGATTGGGGCTTTTTTGTGGAAAACGCTACTGCCGTCTACACTGGCCCTTTTCCGGAAAAAGACTTTTGCCCGAATGGGAGCAGCATAGTTTTTCCGGAAAACCACTGATGATTTTACATTAGATCTTCAGTGCTTTTCTGGAAATTCAAGCGGCTAGTGTAGACCGCTGGCAAGTTTTTCCGGAAAAGCGGCTGATTTTCCGGAATAACTTGCCAGTGTAGACACAGCCCAAGAGTTTATGAAAAGCCTACCTAGTGGTGGGACACTGAAGAAGAAAAGGCATTGACATCTACCCTTATGTGGAGGATTGTCTGATCAAAGGCAAGTCTCTGTTCTCTATTCTAGCTCATTCTGAAGAAATCTCACTATAAGTGAGCAAGTAGGATCAGCGAATTACAAGCTCACCCTATTACACACTATTCCACAAAGACAAGATTATGTCAAAACCTCTACATTTATTCTCAAAATTGTATCCTATTTTAAATTTGAATCAACAAATATATCCTTTTTCTTTCCAAAATGTCATTCCTTTCCAGAAAAAAAAACAACAAACTCTACATCTTGGACATTATAGTGTCTTGATAGGACAAAGCCTTTCCAAAAGATGCCCGGTCTTTTTGATGCTATGTCTAGTGCTTTTAACGGTCTTGCCATCTCAATTAAAATACGAAGTATTTCCATCTGCTATGACATGGCTGTTACACATCTTCCTCCAAACATGAACATTCCAATAAGCATGGGCTGCCTCCTCTGCATGCTTTGGAAACATCCCCATATTTGAGGCAGTTACATATAGAGTAATCGCCTGCTTTTGTTAAATACTGTGCCCTTGACCTGGCCACAACATCAGAAGCTAAATTTGGTAGAGCACTCTTTCAGTCACTTCTTTAGTTATTAGCAGTCTTCTAGAGGCAGCATTACTTATTAAATAGAGGGACTCCAAAAAGATGACAACATCTCAAAGAAACAGCTACTATACCTCTTTATGGCCACTGTTTGTTCAACTAGCTGAGTGTGCCTACTTCACTCATGTATTTCCTGTTATGTGGTGGCAAATCCTGAACAGCATGCATACATGGCTAGACAGACATCTACTTTCAGGAAATGTGTGCACAAAATAAACATGTATGTGTACTTTAGAACTAATCATGACTAGTCATTATTGTTTACTATATTGGCTCAAATTTGTCGCTAGTGTAACTCCATTGAAGTCACTGACCCATCATTGTCATATCTTCTTAATTTTAGTCAAACTCTATTAACGCTAAAGAGAGTGTATTTAGAGACTCAAGCAACGTGAGTCGATAATTAATCATAGGATTTTAAAAGCTATGTAATTAAATAAAAATATTGTGCTTAAGTCTAAAAGCTAGTACATTAAATGTAATTGAATAAAAATATTGTGCTTAAGTCTAAAATATGAGCATATGACACAAAGTTTACCAGAGGAAAGGTTTACTTAAATTCTTTTCAAGGCTCTACAGGTGCTAAATTTCCCTTGTAATGAGTGGTTAAAACAATCACCATAGACTCCTTTTCTCAATACATTTCATATGCATGCTAGTTACATTAATCAAATTGTTCCAAACATACCTAATCTCTGCTGGCGAGGCTCTGGGCAGATATGACACCATACTCACAAACTTTCTGAGACTGCTCTCAAATAAAAAAAATCTCTCGTTATAACAGACAATATGCCAACAAAACACATCCAATGCAGTATTTGATTAAAATATAATTTATTCTATAGTGAGAAATATCCTTCAGATTTGTAGAGAATTATATATATATTCAAAAAGTTAAACTGCTAATAAATATATCACCCTTTCATGGCTCACAAAAAAGTCCCTCATTTAAGATATAGCCAGACAAGATAAAAAAATGCAAAACAAACTACTGCCCAAATCTGGTAATCCCAAAACAAATTCATGGAAAGAAGAGCTTTAGCAGATTTATATGCTATTTACAGCTTGCTATACAATCAACAAAAACAAACAAACCAAAACAGGCACACAACCTTAAATCCTAAAACAATACACTAAAATAAATCAGCCTTTTGAAAGAAATACAGCATAGCTACACCAGGGGCTAAAATAATCATGTTGCAGCTGGTTCACCTGTTTGCCTATTTGCAATCAGTTTACAAATTTATGTATTGTATTAAATACCAGTACAACTGACTACTATCAAACCAACAATGAACTGTTATCCCTTTATTACATCCTATTTATACCATTTGGTTATGTATTCTCTGCTATAATCTCTTTAAATCAAATTACTGTAAGGAAAAGGGCTCTATTGGATTTCTCCTTAATCAAGCTCTACTTAATGAGTAAAGGGACACAGCTTCACAGCAAACTAACAGAAGGTATTTTATTTAAACACAGCTGATTCTTAACAAAGCCCTACAGCTAACAGGAGTGAGTACTTCATCCTCCCTTTTCTTAATACAAACACCACCTGCTTTGTCTGATTTTCTTTTTTTCAGAGGATTACTTTTGCAGAATGCCATTGCTGCAAAATGTCCCTATGCAAAAGAGACCTGCAGTTTTTAAATAACATGCAAGTAAATCCACCCCAGCTCTGTATCATAGGCATTAGGCAGTGCATTCTGATCCCTGGCATGTGGTAGATGTGAAACCTTTGGCCATATCTTGTGACTGATGCCAGGTAATTAAAAAAAAGATCTTTCCCTTGTAAGCACTCATGAAGGTTACAAATTAACTACAGTGTTGGAATTACTTTATGGCTAAACCCATAGAAGTCCTGATCCTAGAATGAAGTCTGCATCAGTAGATCTCTTTTTTCCACACAGAGCCCCATTGATATTAGTGGGGCTCAACCTACTTAGCAGGTTACTTTTGGGAGGAGATTCAAGGGAGGATTGAGTCCTATATTGCTTTAGCCCATGCTTGCAAAGACCTATGTTCAGGATCTATGAAATGCAGAACCACTCTGTTACTTTAGAGACTGTCCTGTGACTATAGGGATAGGTAGGAACCTGGCAGAGACCTGAATATGGTTACAATGCTTCCAAATTTTTCTAAAAGCAAGTGGAAACACATGTGAAAATTGTATACATTTTTTCATTGTTGATCTTAATTCTTTCCCATAGCATTATTTCCTTTTGTTCACTTCCACTTATAGCTTGCTGTCAGCAGCTGCAACATTGAAAAGGAACGCTCCAACCTGTTAGGATCAATCAAATGAAAAACAATCAATCACTGTCAACATTTATTGGAAATCAGAGCAGACATACATAAGTAATATTTAGCACAATACTTGTTTCACTTCTCCATGCAGAAAATAAGCAGCATGATATTTTCAAGCATGTATTTTGTTTTCCCACTGAAGGACTATATTAAGTGAGCATATTTTCCATTCTTACATGGCTCCAATTTTAGGTCTATACTGTGTGCATTAGTGGAACTTAATCGTGCACCTGGAGGGAAGAATGAACTTAAATGTATTCTCTAGGTCTAGGGAAAGCATTAGTTTTCACCTTTATTTGGCTTGTACAGAATAATTTATTACAGTCTGGTAAAGTTAACTCCGTTTTAACTAGCAGAAAAAAAGATGCTCAAGACTCAGAAATCAATTTCTTCTCTCCTGATTCATCTCCTTCAACCCAAATTAAAATCTCAACCTGATTTCCTGACATCTCCATATGGATATCCTTCCATCATCCTAAACTCAGCAGTCTGAGTCTGTTGATGGGGGTGGAGGGGAGCAGGAGCCAGAGCAGTCTCCCAATGGGGGATTGGAAGGAAGAGGAGGAGAAGACCCCTGATGATAGAGCTCCAGTTGTATAACCTCCTGGCCTGACTACTGGGCTCCAGCTGTCTTCTTTATCCTCACCTCTTTGTGCACAGCCCTTAGGCACCAGTGCCAGCTACCCCCGGGCTGGCAGCCAAAGCTCTTTTAAAAAGCACACAGCTGGTGCCTCCCTTGACACATTTCAGCCCCTCTCTTAAGAGGGTACCTCAGTGTAAGAACCACTGGTCTAAAATGTTTTAGTAATAATTAGCTGTAGACAGCACTTGGATCCTTTTTGTTGATGTGGCAGAGTGGTGAATAGCTATTTTTTCTACCTTCTTCTAGGCAACAGTCCTAAGGCTGGATTATCATGGGAGAACAGGATACTCAGGCTAGGAAGGAGAGAAGAGGGCTGGACGCACCTACTAGGGAAGGAGATTAGATAATCCGACGGAACCCAGACCACACAGGATATTATTTGTATTTATTGAAGGAAAATACAGCCTGAATCTAAGGTTAGACACAGGTGATTTTTTTTTACTTCAAAATCATTTTGAGGAGGCGCGCGATGCAGATCTGCCCCACGCTTACTGCTAAAACGAGCTGGCGTCCATTTAATACAAACACAGCGTCTGCGAACTCATTCGCTCCCTGCCCGTGTCACGCTTCGAGCGCCACCCCGTAAGAGCGCTGCCCCCTTCGCATGCATTTGGCTGAGGTCGGGAGGCGCTTGACACACGCCAAAGAAGGAGAGCCCGGGGGCGGAGAAGGACGCTGCTCGCTTCCACAGAACTGCACCCCGGTGCCAACCCTACAGCCCCTGTGGTTGTTCCTTCCCGGGCGGATCCTTCAGTCTCTTTGCGGGGCCTGATGCAATTTGTCCCTCCCCCCTTGCAGCGGGGCGGAGTTTCCCCTGGCACCCGCCTATGCGCCTTCTCTTTCCCGGGTGAGTTCCGGCTCCTGCAGCCTGGGGGCGGTGCTGCTTTTGCGTGGCCTGACCCGGGCTCGCCCCCACCTGCAGGCGGTGCTGGCTATGGCCGCCTCCAGCGGGCCGCCCCGTGCTCGGGCTCTGCTGCAGCAATGTTTGTCCGCCCGGCTGCAAGTGAAGCCCCCAGAGCCGGGCTCCGAGGCTGAATGGGTGGAGGTAACGTGCGCAGCGCGCCGGCGGAGCTATCGCGCCTCTTCTTGGTCGCTCTGAGCCATCCCTCTCCTTCCCGCCTGGCGTTTCTGCTGTTTGCCCCCATCTCGAAGTGCAGAGCGGTCCAGCATGGTCCTAGGGGAAGCCACACTCCTACCCAGCTTTCTGTTCCCCGGGAACCGGCTCCTCTGGGGCAGAGCTGGCGAGCTGGAATTCTCCACTGTGTAGTCGCTGGTCTGTCTGCTTACACCTGTGCAGTCCGCGTGTAAAATGTCATCAGCTCCCACACTAGAGACGTGAATGACTGTGCAGGGCCCTGGAGAATCAGACCTTTTGGGCAGGAACTTTGTTTTATGAGGAAGTGCCACCCAGAATTAGAGCACAGAATTATAGAGCCCTAGGGCTGGAAGAGACCAGGAGGTCAGGGAGTTCAGTCTCCTGCCTAAAGCAGGACCAGTCCCAACTAAATCAACCCAGCCACGGCTTTGTCAAGCGGGACTTAAAAATCTCTAAGGATGGCGATTCCACCACCTCCCTAGGTAACCCATTCTTGTGCTTCACCACCCTCCTCCTGAAATAGTATTTCTTAATATCCAACTTAAACCTCCCCCACTGTAATTTGAGACCATTGCTCCTTGTTCTGCCATCAGTCACTACTGAGAACAGCCTCTCTCCATCCTTTTTGGAACCTCCCTTTAGGAAGTTGAAGGCTCCTATCAAATCGCCTCTCACTCTTCTCTTCTGCAGACTAAATAAGCCCAAATCCCTCAGCCTGCCCTTGTAGGTCATATGCTCTAGCTCCCTAATCATTTTGGTTGCCCTCTGCAGGACCCTCTTCAATGAGCCCACATCCTTTCTGTAGAGGAGCACTTTGTGAATGTTTTAAATAGTCACTTGTCCTTCCCTCAGGTCTCCCATGGCAGTAATTAATGTACCAGTTAGACATGAGAGCAGCTTTTGTGGGGGAGATTATAGGATTCAGAAACAATTTTGTTGGCCCAAGATTTTTTATCTTTTTAAAGCTGCCACAAAAGCTTGTGTTTGTCACACTCAGTGAGAGACAGTCTGTAAAGATATAGAGAGAATTCACACAAAATAGAGATGGTGATATCTCAGTTGGGATATAGTGAAAAAGGATAATCCATTAATCGTGAAAAAGGGGATTGCCGTTTCTAGGGTTAGCAGCCCCTGCTTTAACCTCTTATAGTATAACAGCTCTGACCAGTCCTGTAACTCCAGCAAGTACACTAAGAATGAATTAGTCCTCCTGTGTGGTATGTATTTTATTCAGAGCTATTGGCTTTACCCCTTATGAGGGACTTTTTTAAATAGAAAATAGTCTGTGAATGTCAAAAGAACTGCATCCATGCTGCATTTGGAAATGTTTCATGGGATATTCTTACCTATACAGGCAGTCCCCGAGTTACGCGGATCCGACTTACGTCGGATCCGCAGTTACGAACGGGGCACTTCCTCTCCCTGGTCTCGAGCAGACCAGGGAGAGGAAGCAAAGCGGCGGCGGAACGTGCGCCCAGCTGACAGCCCAGATGCGTCTGGGCTGCCAGCTGGCCGCACGTTCCGCCGCCGCTTTGCTTCCTCTCCCTGGTCTCGAGCAGACCAGGGAGAGGAAGCAAAGCGGCGGCGGAACGTGCGCCCAGCTGACAGCCCAGATGCGTCTGGGCTGCCAGCTGGCCGCACGTTCCGCCGCCGCTTTGCTTCCTCTCCCTGGTCTCGAGCAGACCAGGGAGAGGAAGCAAAGCGGCGGCGGAACGTGCGCCCAGCTGACAGCCCAGATGCGTCTGGGCTGCCAGCTGGCCGCACGTTCCGCCGCCGCTTTGCTTCCTCTCCCTGGTCTCGAGCAGACCAGGGAGAGGAAGCAAAGCGGCGGCGGAACGTGCGCCCAGCTGACAGCCCAGATGCGTCTGGGCTGCCAGCTGGCCGCACGTTCCGCCGCCGCTTTGCTTCCTCTCCCTGGTCTCGAGCAGACCAGGGAGAGGAAGCAAAGCGGCGGCGGAACGTGCGCCCAGCTGACAGCCCAGATGCGTCTGGGCTGCCAGCTGGCCGCACGTTCCGCCGCCGCTTTGCTTCCTCTCCCTGGTCTCGAGCAGACCAGGGAGAGGAAGCAAAGCGGCGGCGGAACGTGCGCCCAGCTGACAGCCCAGATGCGTCTGGGCTGCCAGCTGGCCGCACGTTCCGCCGCCGCTTTGCTTCCTCTCCCTGGTCTCGAGCAGACCAGGGAGAGGAAGCAAAGCGGCGGCGGAACGTGCGCCCAGCTGACAGCCCAGATGCGTCTGGGCTGCCAGCTGGCCGCACGTTCCGCCGCCGCTTTGCTTCCTCTCCCTGGTCTCGAGCAGACCAGGGAGAGGAAGCAAAGCGGCGGCGGAACGTGCGCCCAGCTGACAGCCCAGATGCGTCTGGGCTGCCAGCTGGCCGCACGTTCCGCCGCCGCTTTGCTTCCTCTCCCTGGTCTCGAGCAGACCAGGGAGAGGAAGTGCCCCGTTCGTAACTGCGGATCCGACGTAAGTCGGATCCGCGTAACTCGGGGACTGCCTGTACATAGTTCTTCAGTACATGAATGCTTGCCTACAGTAGTGGCTGCTAGATGATGTTAAAAAAGGAAAATAACCCTTTCAGGCATATGCCATAAGTCTGAATCTAAAAAGCTTCAGAGCACAATGGAATATGTCTGTCTTTGTTTGTTTTTTGTCTTGTTTGGGTTTTGTTCTTAAACTTATTCCAGATAAAGGCTGTAGTTTTAGATTGTATCAGGATGGATGGCTTTGAGTAATGTCATTTGAAAAACTATTTTCAATAAAAATTTAGTTGCTATAGCAGCAAAGAACATAAAAATAAATATAATGGGCATTTTCAGATGCGTAATCCTATGGGTTTGACCCAGGAGTCAGGTATAGCATTGTGAAAGGACTGCTAGACCCTATGGTGATATATGTTTATTGTTGATGAGCATCTTTGCCTGATTAATTCAGATGTATATAGATCCTAATAAATTTGTACTCTACAAGAAAAGATTGCTAAATACCAAAAAGGTGTTATAGCAATATAGACAAAAAAGATGTAGAGTGCTAATGTGTTTAAAAGATAAATGAAATTACTTTTAACTGTCTTTAAATTTGTTCTATACCTGCACCTAAATACACCCAGGATTAGGATTTACTAGTTTTTGTTGCTTTAGAATAATTTTCAAGTTGCTTTTAAAATGTTTCTTTTCCCTGTTGCAAAAGAACCACATACATAAGGGAGAAAATAAGGGCCTCATATAGCAATGTAATGTGTGCAAGCTGACCTCTGTGCTCTTGTAGAGCATCTTTGAAATCTTTGGGGCTATGTGGGTGCATGAATCATATTACAGAATCAGCATCTGAGTACAAGGAAAGCAGTGAAACAAGGAAAGTCAGAAAGTGAATTAACTTATATGTTTGCTCTTAATATCCTAGTATAGTAATCTTGGGGATTTCTTATAAGAGGTATAGACTTTCAGAGGGAAATGAGATTAAACAGTGTCCCTTTTAGATATTCAGAAAAGAGGGATAAACTACAGTATGTTGTGACTTAAATCATTCAAAAAATGATATGTTGTTGAAAAATCTTTTATTTCAAGTTTTAAATTATTTAACCTAAATTTGTGAAAGAGCAACATCCACTAGAGGAATTTGCATGGGGAGTTGTACTATATAAGCTAGCAGGTCCCTTCCAGCCATAAAGTGTGCTATCAGTGCTCACAGCTGTTGTATCTTCCTAAAGTATTTAATTGGCTTAAGAGAAAGTTAATGTTACAAGAGAGGCAAAAACTAGTCAATCCACAAGAAAAATCTATTGGAAGAGCTAAATCATTTAGCATAACTTTTCTTTAGAGGTCAGTGGAAAGTTTGATCAGTAATGAAATTCTGCTTCTGTGTTACAGGTAGAAACTCTATAGTTCAGCACTCTGTCATCTGACAACATCTGTGGTCCAGCATGTCTTTAGTTTGGCAGATGTCCACTTATCATGGTGCTGGCTAAGTTTCCCATGGTCCCATAAAGTTTTACAGCCACCAGTCCTGATTTTAAGTGTTCTGTGCTGTGATTTAGCTATAATTTACCCTTAAATGTCTTCTGAGAGCATAAGTATTGGTAATGCTGCAAAGCAATAATGACCTCCCATGATTAGGTGAATTTTCTGGTATGGCACCAGTCAAGTGCCCCGGGTGCCGGATTAAAGAGGCTCAATCTGTACAATGTTGCCACTTAAAAGCTCTCCATCAAAAAAATATAGAAACTAAGACCTAGTAAACAATTACTGATACAAAATCTGTATGTACTTGGTGATTTACAAGCAATTTAAAAATAAAATGTCTTTATACTAAGGAGTTGATAATCTATTTTAAAATAAAATAGCATATGATATAGATAAATATGAACAGTGCCAAACAGTGTTCCTTCTAACATTTTCTAGCCTTGAGTGTGGTGGATTGAATCTTCTTTTGGGTGGGTTGAAATTTCTTATGTGCACAACCAATACTGAGGTAATGTGTGTGGATGTGCACCAGCAATACAAACAAAACACACACATAATTTTAAGCAGTCCATATCTGTGGAAGAAAGTATATTAAAACAAGAGATATTTAACAAGGAGCAATGTATACGATATTTAACATACAATCAAACAAAAAAGAAAATTAACAGTAACCTTGAAGAGTACATGTATTAACCTTTCTAAAAGCTCAAGCTAGTACTTGCTACATGTGCCTTGCTACAAGAGCCAGAACTCTACCAAATACCAAAGATCTGTCCTTAATGCAATACAATATACCATGTATTAATTAGTAATACAGATTTTTCAAAAATCATTAAGTTCAGAGTTTTAGAGATCTGCAACACCCCGGAAAAATCTGTTCTTAGAATCTTTTTCTTTCTTAAGCCATTAACACCTTATGCAAACTTCATTTGAAATGCAATCATGCAAATGTCCTGGCACACATGCTTCCATTGCAGCCTGCTCCCCACCT